GTGGAGGGGGCGCGCACCCCCCGCGCGACACGCCCGCGCTGTCCCATTCACAAACCCCTGCTGGGTGACGTAACCTTGTAATTTACTGGGCACCCCCAGCGTCCCGCTGATTGGCTAAGAGTAAAGAAGAGGCGTGACCGAAGGCACAAAACTTGCCGCGCGGCAGGTCCTCTCGGTCCTCCGTCGCTGTTGGTGTGTCCGAGCAGAGGCGTCCCCCACCCGAGCCCGCTGAGCATGGCCACGGACGACTCAGGTTAGTGCCGCCGCTTCTGGCAGCTGCGTCCATTCACTGCCAGTGATTACAGTCATCCCTGCAGTGGAAACGTGGTTCTCTTTATTCCTGTAGCTGACCTTGCAAGCACGTGCAGGCGCTGCTGGATCTTCTCTGGGTACCTCGTTTAAAGACGAACAAACATCTCCTGGCTGTTTTGTATTGTATTCTGTATTGTGGTGTTTTTTTCTGGCATGTTGTTAGAAACTGGCTTCTTAAAAGGAAGCTGGTGTCAGTCCTGAGGCTGTAGTAACACTTGGATTTGTCTGTGGCAGCCTCTGCGCTTGGTGCGTTTGTGAGTGAGGGAGAGAAATATTTTGCCACAGGAGGGGTGGAGATTTCTGGTTAAAAAAATTAAATTAAATTAAAAAATCTCCACCCCTCCTGCGGCAAAATATTGGCTATATTTTTCAATGAAAACAATGTGGAACCCCTAAATGATGTTAACTGTGAAGGAGGGTTTTCGAGAGAGTACAGTGCGCTCACGCACATGTGTTATGTGTATATTTACTACTAGCTTATACAGTTCCCTGAGATGAGTGTTTCTTATATCCTTTAAGTGATCCTTGATATATTAAAAAATACAGCTCTTCATGAGTGCTTCTTTCAAATAATAGTTTGCATGATTTATTACCCAACAGCTCTTATCCTTAGGATCTCTCATGAAAGTCATCCAAGTCTTTCAATCCCAGATAAATATACTGTATAGTGTGTCCTGAAGGTCCCCAAATGACAATTTACTTCAAATAGCAGATATTAAAAGAGGAAATTTTGTGCCTGGGTTTCTTCCTGGGAATTCTGGATGTGTAAGGGCTCCAAGCGTGGGTGTGGTTTGTGTTTACTTGTGTCTTAGTTTTTTCCATTAATGTTAAAGGTGAGTTTTTGCTAGTAGACGTCTAGCTCCTGTGAACACATATGACTTAGTGTGCAGTATCAAAGCCAGCCATGTGCAGAATACCACCCCTTCCTTTTTTTCACTTCCCATCTATGATGGGAGTCGGTGCCAGGGCAGCCCAATTCCTAGATCTCCAGGTGTTGAGAGGACTTGGCACTCCTGTACAGCCTCTAGCTCAGTGATTCTCGGGCAGGGTTCTGCTGCGCCCTGGGGTGCCTGGAAATCCTTTGAAGGGTGTTGCTAGATGTGAGGAGATACGCTGGTAGACTCATACTTGGGCTTGTCCCTGTCTGGCTGACTTTCCCCATCCCCTCTGCAAGGAGGTAAGCAATACAATATAAATCCAGTTTTGAAGTAGGTGCTACCCAATTAAAAAAGGTTATGGAGTGTTGCCTTGAGTCCAAAAAGGTTGAGAACCTAGTTCTTCTCGTGGGGGCAGATGAACTGTCTGCTTCCAGTGTTTAGCATTGTCTTTTCCCAAGACTGGAGGGAAAGCAACACTCTGGTGTCACTGCTGTACCATGCAGCTTATCAGCCTGGCCATTTTCTACCTGAAATCAAAGAGTAGCCCTTGATCTATCATGATGAGGAAAAATGAACATCTGGGCTGTCTCAGGGGCACCAAAAGAAGCGTTCTAAGGCTGTGTCATCCCTTAAATTGTGGTCACAGCCTCAAAACCAGTCATCTTATCAGGACCTGACAGACAACCAAGGTCTGTTACTCAGAACAAGTACTGAAGCACAGTGCTACCTCCCTCTGACAAGCTGTATACCCATAGAACAGTTCCTGCCTTGAAAAACGGTTGCATGCTTACTTCCTGCCATCTGCAGATAATGAGTGCGTTGTTTCATTCTTGAAATGGCTGCAGGATAGCTCTGTGCATATGTGACAAAATAATTAGGGTGACTATCTGCAAGCACACATGGAGCACTGTCCCCAGATCTTCTGTCATCTCTTGTACTTTTGGAGGAATCTTGCATGTGCATTCAGTGGGATAAGGCTGAGCAGTCCCCTTTCTGTAGCCTGTTTGTGAGTGACCAAGAAATTCATCTCTCCTCTGACAATGTTACACTAAGTACTCATGAATTTACAAATGTGGGGATACATTCTTCTCTAAACTACATTCCTGTAAATCCAAGAATGAACCTAGTGGAAATTCTGTGCTTTATACCAGCATAACTGAGATCAGAACTTGGCTAGTGAATTCCAATTGCTTCAAAGGAGTCACTTCAGTTCAGCACAGACATTCTCATGTAGTTTGGAAGAATTATTTTTACTTTCTGAACAGCAGACTTTATATAAAAAAAACCCCCAAAACAAATGAACAGCCCCTCCCCACCCCAACAAAGGAAATTATTTTATACAAGAGCCTATTGTTTATGCCGTGTGAAGGATGTGATTGAAACCAGTAACTCAAGGAGATGGAAAGATAAAGGAGCAGGGTGGCCTTCTGCTTGAACTTGTCCTATTCTTTGGGAGAGTTGCAGGGGGTCTCAGCTAAGCTGTGATGGTACGTTCTGCATAGAACTTAGTCACAGCAGGCTTTTTCCTCGATTAAAGTGGCTTTGTCACAACCTTTGGGCCCATAAACATCTTTCTATTGTGTCAGGGACAGTGCGTCTGGTGCAGGAGTTGTGAAATCATGAAGCAAATATTTAGACTGTTTTGAAGTAGGGAACTTACTTTGCCGCTGTAGGCAAAGGACCTTGCATATAGTTGATGGGAATCCACTAACAGCCATGATTACACACTTTCTTTCTAGGAATGATTAGGTTCATTGGCAGAGAAAGGAGGTAGGAGGGCTTTGTGGCAAAGGTGCTGAACTGGGACTTGGGTCTTGGTTCTTCTCTAGGCTTTACCAAGGAAGCCTGTGGCAGAGTGGTTTCATCTACATAAAGTAGGTATATTGCTGCTGCTTTACCATGTGCATGTGCTGTGAGGATAATACCATCGGGCTACCAGCCACGCTGACTTGTGCCGCTACAGGACCTGGCTTATTAATTCTGTGAGCCATTTGGATACCAGGGGAATGTCAAAGGGTTACTTAAGTCAAACTGCACATTGGGGCTAGTGTCAAGGTGTGGATTTCTATCGCCATCAGTTCACAAGGGAATGACGTGGCCTGCATCACTTCTGGCCACTTCTGACTACCCAGCCTGAATGCCAGGTACCTCTTACTGCTGTGTGAGCTTCAGCATGAGTCCAGAGTAAGGCTTTGAAGCCATCAGGCAGCTGAACTACTCTGCCTTTCTGGAGTTTGAGGAGGGCAGCGGTATGGCCCTATCCGTATCTACCTGTCCTGGCTAAAAGTATCCACTAAGCATGCCTGGTCCTATTCACATGCTACTTAAATGTGCACCAGCGGTATAAATCAGCAGCAACACCAGGATAAGCAAGAGCACATGCAGGCTCTTTGTAGAGTGGTGCTTGCTATGAGCTCTGAGTGGTGGTGGCCCCTATAGCATTTCTGTGGCGCCTCCACCTCCCCCTCCTTCCTGTGGTTCTGTGGTGTTTCTTCTTTCATAAACTATTGTACAAGTTTATGAAGACCAGCTACATGATAAAATATCAGCAGTGGTCCTGATGCCTTCCTGAAGACAACAGATTTACACTGGGGAAGAACTTGGCTCATTGGGTCCTTGTCAGTAGCTGTAAATAGCAATGATGCTGATCCTTGCCCCTGCTTGTGGGATGTTCATGAAGTCACTCTTACACGCTGCAGATGGTCTGGCTGCTTCTGATGGTGGAAGAGCCAAAAGCTCAGCCCTTGGAGGATGGAGAGTGCCTTGCACCAGCCATCCCTGGTGCTGCCTGCAGCCCTCTTCAGCCAAAAGGATGGCACACCCAGCTTGGGTGGGAGGGCTGCATAGTGGAAATCCTAGAACTTTTGAGAAGGAAGAATTTTTTTTTGGTGTTTTTTTTGTTTTTTTTTTTTCTGTGCTGTTCCAGTAGCAGTAGGCACCAGGCTGTGATTAAGCTCCTGCTCAGACATAACCAGGGGTGGGTCCACTGCTCTGCCTCAGGAAGTGGATGACTGCATGGCTCTTCAGGCACTCGCTGTGAAGTTCCAGACATTTGCTTTGGCAAGCCTCTTCATGAGGAAAGAATGACAACCTCAGCTCCTAGACCCCAAACAAGGGAGTCAAATTATAGAGGAGACTCTGCCAGTTGTATTTATATTGCATAATCTGCACATTGCTGGACGGCTCAGTCCTAGAAATTCACTTAGTTCCCAGTGATTAAGTACAGGACTCCTCTGAAATGCTGACAAAGCTTCCTCTGCAAACTTATGTCCCTTAGTTAAGAACACGGGACTGGAAGGGGCCACTGAGTTTGGTCTTCCATTCCCAGGCAACTGCTTATCCAAATATTCCCCAAAACAACCACTTCCAGCCCTCATGCCTTCCACAGCACAGAACCAGAAACAACCAGAGCCCCTACAATGGGCCACAGGCAAAAGCAGGGGAGATAAGGCCACCAGTTGTCCTCCACATCAAAAACAACTTGGGGAAAATCTAAGAAATGACCCAAGTTGATTCTGCTTTTGTGCTGGGATAAATTTGAAGTAATTACGTTGAAGTTACTGATGTAGCGGGATGGGGTAAGTGAGACCAGAATCAGGGCAGATGCGAGTTGGGTCACTTCCATGCTATACTACAGCATCTATGGCTATTGGTGAGGCAGTTTCAACAGCTCTGTGGCAAGGATCCTGATGTCACTGAGATCAGGAGAGCCAGTAGAGACCAAGCAGCCTCGTGTCATTTTGAGTAGGACATACTGGCCAAACAAGCCTAAGGTGGCTGAGACCAAAGGTCTCCTTGATGGGGAGAGCCAGGTTGTGGCTGGCTGCTGGGGTGTACAAGTTGCTCCATGGCTCTGTTGTATCCGTGGCTGTCCTGCCAGCGTGTTCCTCAGCTCTCCCCACCTTTGCCAAGCTGGCTTTACAGCTCCCCCTGTGGGACGTTAAGCACCTTCATACAGTCTTTATGGTGGTGACTACTTGTGCCAGGCTTCTCTTCACTTTTCTTCCCCAGCACCTTCACAAATACCTGGCTACTTTGGGCAGAAGAGCTTTCTAACTAGCAGCTTTTGCCATCTGAGGCAACAACCCGGTATCCTCCAAGCAACAGGCCTTTCTGTCAGCCATTTTCCATTTTGAGTTCCCTTCTCCTTTGGCTATTCTACAGCTCCTAAGAGCCACTGTGGTGTTCAACATATGTAACTCCACCTGCATCTGCGTGTGAAATGAATGAGATCAGAATGAATTGCTTCCAGTTAATGAACTCAGCTGATTTTGTTCCCTTTTCAGTGCTGACTGATGACCTCAGTGACCTCCTGAGGGAGTTTGATGAAGTGATTGAAGACTTTGACAACGGTGAGGCCTGTCAGTATGAGCAGCACTTGGAGGACATGAAGAGAAGGACAGTGTCCAGCATGTATGACAGTGGCATTGACGAGCTAGAGAGTGAGTCTAGGCAGGGGTTATTTGGTTCAGAATAAAATAAGCCTTGGATCTCAGTGCTTTTCACCTTTGGGGAAATGCCACTAGTGCATAAGGAGACAGGTCTGCCCCCAGCCTCTCCAGCAGGAGAATAAGCAGCTTGGTAGAGACCCCTTGAAAAGGATGGTAGGCCTCAGACTCTTTCAATTCTCCAGCTCTCTGAGGCTGTGTATCTAGTTTGTTTAATTATTCATCTTTCATGTCACTCGGCCTTTGAGCATCATCATCTCAGCCACCTACTCATTGGTCTCTTCCCTCTAAGGCTGCATTAGGCAGCATCTGTTTTTGCCTTCAGGTACTCTGCCTGGTTGCTTAGAAGCTCATAGGCAAGGGTCCATCCACCATGCTAGAGGGGTCATATCTCTGGTTTGATAGTTTTATTGCTGCACAATATGCTTGGGATATGGGATTAAACCCACTTGTTCCCTCTTAATTGTTTTGGTCCCCTGTTCCAAGAAACCATTGACGTTCCAGACTGCTGTGTACCTTACATCCAAATTGTAGCAGGTCTGCTGGCTAACAATGAAAGCCAGCAGCCAGATATGAGAATCCTATTCCGTTCATTGTTTTGGCCCCCATCCCCTGCTAGCATATTTATGTATAGTTGTGGCCCTGGGACCTAGACTATGCCTTGGCAAACTGACTTATCTTATTATGTTGGCAGGTGCCAGCACCTCACCTAGAAGCAGTTTAAACTCCAGTGAGGAGGATCTCAACACCAAAGCCAAAGCTTCTGACTCCAAAGGTGAGACCAAGACAGATTTCCTTTGGAAAGGGCTCCTGAGGGGACTTCATGGGGAAACCCATCTAAAGAGACCTCAGAGAGGAGGTATCTCCTACTGCTTAAGTAGTCATTCTAGACCTACAGTAGTGGAAGTGAGGGGAATAGGGCCCTTGCCTTTGATCTTGTAGTTCCTACTGATTTTTTTTTCAGCCTGGGCTACGAGTTATGTCCCATTGGACCATCCTAAGACTCAGATGCCTTTTGGCTGGTATTTGTAGCTGAATAGTGCAGATGCAGGGGAGTGGGGGGAAGGCTGATGACTGTGTAGACAACCCCTCCTCCCCAACTCCCTGCTCTGAATGTTTGCCCTGGTATGCAAGTGTTCCTGGTAGAAATGAGAGCAGAATTTGCAAACGTTAGCAGGTTTTCTAATACAGACTCCATGCTGGATTGAAGGGACCATGGCCTAGACTTCTAGCAATGTCCAAAGCATCCTGGGGAAGCACCCTTGTTACTCAGACCTCTTGATTCTTACTTGGGGATTTGGCACAGCCAAAAAGACTGTCTTAGAAAAAATCCATAACAAATCCTACACTCAATTCGGCATGTGAAGTATAAGACTTTGTGAAGTTAGTGCTGTGCAGTGGCTCATGTAGGGTCAACATAATCAGCAACGATCACAATCTCTATATACTAATTTTTAAGTCCAAGAGCCTTAGAGGAGCACAAAAACCTAGACCATAATGCCATGCAACGAAATAATATCCACTACATATACCTCCTATCAGAAAAAAATGTACTGGTGAAATTTGGCCTAGTTTTATATCAGCAGTGTTTGACACTAGATTTTTTTTTGCCCCTTCTGTTGCAAATGAAGCTATTTATATAAGCTTCTTCCTAGATGGTCCAGGTCATTGCGCTAAGATGGGCATATAGATGATATGAAACCAGTAATAAGTAGCGGGCAACCTCAGCAGATATGGGCAGAAACAGCAGCAGGGAATCCCTTTCATAGCCTGTATTGGGGTGCGAGCAGCATGCTAAGTATCTGACCATGCATATCTCCATCTGCTAGCTAAACTCGGAGACACACAAGAACTGGAGGACTTCATTGCAGATCTGGACAAAGTGCTGGAGGGTATGTATGCAGCTTTGATCTCTGTCTCCTCTCCATGCAAGATGAGATCCTCCACTGCTGTCAGTTGGGGTTGCTCCTTCAAAGTCGATAGTACCACAGTGAAAACATAGACTGAGGGGTCATCTGTAGGCATTAATGTATCTGATCATCACCTCACTCAGTTTCCCACACTGCAATCTCTTGCACTAGCAAAACATCAGTCCCAGCTATGTGGTAGTTCTGGCTGAATGTTGTCAAATGTATGTCAGCAGTTTGTCAGCCTGGCAGGCTGGAATGCTGCATCCAGCATGGTGTGATCCTGGGCTGGAGTGCAGTGCCAGGCTGTGGGGTATTCTGGCTTAGCTTGGGGCAAAGCAGCTGTGGTCGAGAACATAAGATCTTGTTCAAGGAGCCCAAGGGGATAAGGTCCCAAGTCTTATACAGCCACTATCAGATTCATTTATTCAATAGGAACAGGGTGCCTAAATTCTGAAAGCACCTTTGAAACCCTGAAGTGAAACCTGGATGGAGGAGGTGCAGTCTTAGCTCCACTGGAAGTCTGTCAGTGACTTCTGTGGTTACAGTAGTTTACTTTTAGATTCTATTTGCTCTAGCAGCAAGCTGCCAAAGGCTGCTGGGTGATTTCTTGTGCCTTCTCTGTGCATCCATTTCCCTCTCTGTGGAACCAGGGTGAGGATGGTGACCTGCACAGGGAGGTTTGAGGCATAGTTGCTTTTGAAGTGCTACCAGGACACTGGATGGAAGAGGTGCTAGGACTTGCCATTCCAGGTTGTTTGGGGTGACCCTACCACACTGCCTCCGGTGCTTTGCACCATAGCTGTTTTACTTATAGTGCTTCTCTGGGTTAAAGAAAAGCAGAAAAAAGAGAAAGGGGAGAGGTCCATCCTTTGCAGTGTCATAAGGCTGGCAGGAATCCCCCTAGCCTAGAGGCAACCCAGCCTTGGCTGGATTTCCCCTTGCATAAGTTATCAGTTGTAATCAACAAATTGAAGCAGAGTGAGTTTCTAGAGGGTAGGATGGTGATTTGGGGGGTTAGGTCACTGCTGGGCAAACCCTCGTCTCTGTGGGTGTCTGGGAAATGTCTTTGTTCTCACTACACGGCTTGCCTGTTATGCTAATGAAGCAGAGAGTGAGGGGTTATATTCAAGGTGGGGAAAAGCTTTTGATCAGATTCTTATGGGGGGTGGAAATCCTGCCCTCCTTTGGCAGGGCTGCTGATCACAGACCATTCTAGCTCTCCAGAGGCGGCAACAAGCTTTCAAATGTATCTTTTCCTGTTGACAATGGCCAGAGTGACAAGAAAATGTTGCCCTTCCCTAGCACTCTTGACCCAAGCAGATTCATGGACTCTGCAAACCGTGATTAATTAAGTCTTCCAGCCCCCTCTAAAGTTGACTGCTTTTAGTATTTTACAGCTAGGGAGACTGAGGGCCAGAACTTAAGGTCTGCCCTTTCAAAACCAGTTTGTAGGTGCCCAACAGGGATCTGATTTCTCTGATGCTGAGCAGATCCAACTGAATTCACTTATTGTTCAGGCCCCCTTATGAAAGTCACCAGCTTGGGGGCTGAAGCTACTTTACCTGAAATGGTGCTGTGACTTGACAAGGAACAAGTTCCTGCAAGTGGAGCTAGGAACCAGACCCAAGACCTGAGGTTCCCAGTCTTCAGGTCCAGTCACTAAGCACGCACAGCTGCAGTAAAAGAAGAGGAGGGTTTCCAGTGTGCTGGCTCTGGGGTAGGTCTTAGCCCATCAGGATTCAGTTCAGTGGCCTCACCAATACATTTCTTTTGTTCTGCAGAAATGTGAGATGCCATGTCCTGGATGGATGCTGAAAGAGCGATATTAAGGCAAATCAGAACTCTGCCTTATTTTTGCAACCCATGTTTCATGTTCTACTCTGTTTGAAAGAGTTTATGACTTGCACACAAAGCAGCAAGGACAAGACAGTTACTCTGCAGACAGGAATTGCTTGCTTAGCAACAACCACGAGCTTCCGGTGAAGACCCAACCACAGGCTGCAACAGCAATGAAGTCATAACTGAGAATCCCAGCTGGGCTTTCCCTCTAGCTTATGGCTGCCTCTTCAGACAACCAACATACGTAGTGGAGACTGATTCATTTTGGGAGTGAGTGATGCTGAGAGTTGGGAGGCAGTTGCATATTGGCTTGGGCTGGGTTTCCTCTGCCCTCAAGCTTTCTGCTTTCAAGGCACAGTTGCACCAACTCTTAGCCAGCGTACAGCTTCTATCCCCCTCCCACACTTATTAAAGGACTGTCCATCTCCAAGGGGGTGGAAGAGGAATAGTTTTAAAAAGAGATCTCTGCTCATAGAGCATCAGTGGTCCTGCAGCCTTTGGGCCTCTTCTGGGCATTATTATGATTATGTGTGGACTGGTTGTTGGCTACTAAAATTGTAAGTGGCATGGGCATGTCTCTTTTAAACTTGGTAATTCTTTGCTTACATGTTAAGTATTTCTTAGAAGGTGTTTTACTGGAGATCAGTGATAACAACTGACTGACATTTACCATAGTTTAAGAGTAAAGAGACCCATACCTTCTAGTTCAGATCCAGGGTTTTGATATAATTAGTACAACAAAAACCACCAAATCTGAAATTCCCTCATAATATCATTCATAAATTATGATAATTTTTAGAATGACTCAGTTAAACCTTCAGCTGCCATGAAATTGTGGTTTTTCCATTGACCAACCAGGTAAAGAATTGCATGTGAGTAATGCACTGGCGCACACAGTGCAACTACATCACTTTCTCTGAGCTGAAAGTGAAAGTTATCTCCTGTTCTAAGTATCATAGACAAAGTGATCTTTCTCCATGTTCTCAGCTTGCCAGTGGGCATCTTCAGACACTGCCCTGCCTGAACTCCGGAAGTCTGATTCTGTTCCATCTATTGGGTACATAGACTGGTTTGGTTTTTGTTTTTGTTTGTTTGCTTGTTTGTTTGTTTGTTTGTTTGTTTTTTGTTTTGTTTTTTTTTAGATTTCTAAGTCTGGTCCTATTTTACCCTGTTCGAGCCCCAGAGAAAATATTAGCATACCTACTTTTGAAACAGGCCATTTTTTCCCTGTAAGATGGTGTCACAAGAAACCGCAAGCTAGAGGAGAATATACTGACCACTTGCATTGCCTGCTTTTTCGAAGACTTGAGCAGGATGAAATAGGATTGCACTTGGGTGCCCAAGTCCATGCATCTAACTCGGGCATGGGCAAAATGTGGCCTGCCAGGCCATTCAATCTGGCCTGAAGGGCCCCTAAAAAATTTAGAAAATTAATATTTATCTGCCCTGGGCTGCCTGTCATGTGGCCCTCAATGGCTTGCCAAAACTCAGTAAGTGGCCCTCTGCCCAAAATAATTGCCCACCCCTGATCTAACTGGTGGAACAGGATCTGACTGTATGTGCCTCTGCCTTGAATGCTTGTATTCTGCTGTAAATATTGTAAATAATGAGTCTCTCATTTTATACAGATGTATATATGTGAATAAAAAGATGTTGTGGAACCTCTGAACAAAGTGGTTTTCTTTGTAGAGGGGGAGACCCCTTGGAAGCAGAGTTTACTCTCCACAGCCATGCGCTAAAGTAGCTTTTTGTAGTTACAGACCTGCAACTAAGTAATGCAAAAATACTTGGAACTGCAGATAAGGAGCACCCTGAAAGGGTGACCACTCTCCCTCTTCTCCACCCCCTGCCCCTGATCTTTTGTCATATGCAGAAATGTAGCAAGTTGAATGTAAAGTTTAAATGCTGTACTGGGGGGTTAATAACATGTAGGTAACTGGTATGCAGAAAGGAAATAAATGGAAGGGCAGGAAAATATGGCCCAGAAGAACTGTAGGAAGACTCAGGAGGACTATCTGCCCCCAGGCTCAGCTGCTGCACTGCAAGGCAGGTGGGTTACAGCCCAAACTTAACTGGGATGCAAGCTATACCCCCAACTGGGTTGGCTAGCCATTTATGTAAGTGCATTATACATGTGCTTTAATGCACATTAGCCTATTTTAATGTGCATTAAAGAGTTGCCCAAAAAAAGGACTCTTCAGCTAATGTGCATTAAAATAAGCTAATGCACCTTTTTCTAGTACCTCACAATGAAGGTACTAGATTTAATGTGCATTACTAATTCTGACAGACATTCAGGCACATCTACATGTTCATTAATGCACTTTAGGTATGTGGACACTAATGGGGTTTGAAGCAAAACTTGGTGTGGATCCAGATTACTCTGTACTTAAGACGCTTTCCAAGTGATTCTTCCACTTGGAAGCTGTCTTGAATTCTGGTCATCTGGAAGAGTTCACAGTAAACAAGCACCCAGTAAGACTGAAAAGGCTTCAGTGGGAAGGGACTTGTGCATGGTGACAGCATCCTGGATTCCTTTATTATAGCAGAGGGATAGCTCTTACAGTCAGGATTTCTAAAGTCTCCATAATCCACACTTTAAACCGACATTTCCTTAAGATAGGGCAAGTAGCACAAACTTGGAGTCATTTGAGAAGTTGTTCCAGAGGTACAAGCTCCTCACTCTGAAAAAAATGACATAAATAGCATGAACACTTTACTTCTCTTGTGCATGTTGGGTTTAAATTATGGTTCCAATCTCTTCCCCAGCTGATGTCTCCTTCTCAGAATGGCTTCCTCTAGAGTCCAGCAACTGCTGCCCCTTGAAGCAGTGGACACCTGAGCAGGATATGTAGTAAAGGAGAGCTTTTATGGTTATGCCTAGAACAAAGAGGGAAAAGCAAAGGAAAGTGTCTGCTCTCATGGGCCTAAAAAGGAAAAGTAATCTACTCCTTTTTCTCTTAGTTAGTCCCTGTTTTTAGTCCTTTCCTTTTCTTCCCCCTTATGATCGTTGGCTTAGAAACAGTATTTAAAGGTCTGTTTGGGGGGGAATTGGTTTATAGGTATAGATGTATGCATTATAAGGGGTCAAGATGGGCAGCAGGGGTTAATGGATTTCTAAAGAGCTTGGGAGATTCACGCACGGCTAATCATGGCCCTGAAACCACATGGGATGTCCAGCAAAAGGCCAACATATGGACATAGCCTGAGAATGAAGAGGGGCATGCCATGATATAGGATCATAGCCTTCAAGGCAGGTGCATTGTCTAACACAACAAGGACACATAGTCTAGGGAATAGCCTGGGAAGCAGAGGAAGTATGTCCCATAACACAAGATAAGTGAACAAGCAACAAGGCCTCAGAGAGCATGGGGGCCCAAGTCCCAGTTTTGGGGGAACAGACCAAATTAGGAGAAGGCCCAGAAGGCTATATGGACATTTGACCACAGAGAGAGAGTCATCCAGAGATAGCCATGGATGAAGAGTCATCAGGAAGGAAGGAGAATACAAAAGCAGAGACTTTAGAGTAACAAAGGGTCCCTCCCTTTGTCTTGTCCATCCCTCCCGTCCCTCCTTGTCATCTTCCTCATTCTCCTCCCTGAGAGCGGTCCCTTATCCACGTCCCCATCCTCTGGAAGGGTCCCCAAGGCTGCCAGGGACAGAGGGCATACACCAGCAGCCCGCGTCATGCATCCCACTGGAGGGGGGCTCTGGGCCTTGGTATTTCACCTCCAGACTGCTGACACCTAAGAGCGAGAGCCTCAGAGTGGAGCCTGCATCCTGAACAGATGTACTGTGACTCTGATGACAGCCCTAGGATTGGTAGATATAGAATTGTTTGATTGTTTGTACTGTTGCTTTTTTGTTCTTACTCTGTATCAATAAATTCACCTATTATTGACTTGCAGGTGTTGTGGTTGGTCTGAGGGCTGTGCCCACCTGGAACAAAGGTATAGGTGCTGGGTCCAAATCCAGTGCCAACAATGATAAATCCTGAGGAATTTAAACATTTCCTGGTGAGAATGAGCTCAAAGCACTGATCTTTGCTTCTTCCCCACCCAAACCCAATCCATCTCCACTGATCAAACACCTCAAGCCACACCCTTCACTGGCTTACAAATAAAATAACTAAACTCCATGGGCTTCAGTGACAGTTCCACAATTTGTTAGCTGAGCATCTAGTCCCTTGGAGTTCATGGGTGGTTGAAACCTGATCCAACTCAGTGTCCATTTGACTAGCAAGCAGATTCACTCCTTCCAATAAATGGTCTCTTATTTCGGTGGGATTCTCAGGGCATTCCAGGCTGCCTTCTAAATTCTGTTTCCTGAATTGTCCTGTGATCAGAGACCTGAGAAAGACAAGATTTCAAATAGAAGACATTCTAACTTTATCCCAGCTACATAGTTGGTCCAATAAAAGGTATCACCCTAAGAAATCCTAGCATCTCACATAATTTCTGGACCATCATTCTTATACTGCCATAAAAAATATTTAACAGACTATGGAAACTATGAAGTGTGAAATTCAAAGCTGTAATGACATCACATCATCAGTAACCAGGATTTGTAGTGTACCCTGACATCACATGGCTCAAAACATCCATAGCAAGCAACTGTGAGTGGTTCCAGTTTAATTTGATTTGTACAGCACCTTCCAGGTTGATTTGTTTTATTTCTGTTTCCTGGAGATAATGAACAAATACCAAATCCTACTACAGGGGGAATCATTTTAAAAGGAAGATAAATAAAAATGCCCATTAGTATCTTTTCTTTTTAAATGTTTTGCTCCTGTATAGGTCTTGATCTATGGTTTACAACTAGGAGGCAGCCAAAATCTCCTCTCCCTATATCATATGTAGAACAGTCTGATCTCTAGGAGTGATGAAGGAAAAAGGTGGAATGATTTGTTGGATCCATGCAAATGACCAGTCAGATGATGAAGGAGTTGGTCATGTGACTGGGGTCAGACTCATCAATTCCAGTGCCATTTGCCATATGAGCAGACGATGACTGGATGCTGTGCTGATTGCTGTGTTCTATTTAATGAGAATAGAAGTATCCCAGCACAGAGCCCTGCCTGAAGGGGATGCAAGGAGGTGGGGGCTTCAATCCACCCATCCCACTCTGGCACAGACTGGGAAACCTCAGACCGAGCTCCCTCAGCTCCCTTCCCCACCTCCCGTTCTGAAGACAGTGCAGGAACTGGGAAGGGGAAGGGCTAGGGGAGAGACGCTATGGACACAGAGATGCTCCAAACTGGAGCTTGATCCCTCAACCCCCTGGACCCAACAGCCACCATCTGTTGGGTCAGGAAGAACACTGTAACTCATGGCACTTCCTGCAACGTGCCATGAGCTACAGCAGGGAGCTGCAAGTCAGTCAGTGCCCAGAGAGCAGGGGAAGTGGGCATGTCATTTCTTGACGATGAAAATAGTTGGGGCTTCAGTGAGCAGCATTAGTCTTGGTTTTTTGCACTAGTCTTGGTTTTTGTTTCCTCTCTAGTGGACTGAAGCATTTGGAAGTGGCTGAATGTGACAACTTCTTGTCCTTAAAAAGAGCAGCTCATCTCAGAAAGATCCAGCATGACTGGGGATGTCCCGTCTTCTAAGACAAAGATGGGAAAAGGGTGTAAAGGTTAGGGCCAGCTGGGACATTCATATTAAACGAGAGCTTCTGCCTTCAATGGAAGGGGTAGTTACCACTGAGGGAACAGATGGTGCTTTCAACGGCACTCATCTTATGCCCACTGACCCCTGGAAACTCACAGCAGGCACTTTGGGCAAAGCTCTGAAGGTGGATTTGATGGAAGAATGAATTCATGTCATCTAAAGCCCTGTCTATGCCATGATGCTATCCTAGTCCTGTAGTAAGTACCTGTGAAACAGAGATAGCCTATCAATAATTCTTTACATAGGAGTGGTGTCATCTGCTGGGGTTGGTGGTTTCCAGGAGACTTTTGCCAGAGAAACTTAGTTTATGGTATTGAGAGGATACCAGCTCCAAGTTGGTCCATGCTTCAGGCCTAGGTGGGAAGGAGTCTGAAACCTATTCTGGGTCCTTGAAAAGAAGCAAAGGAAACCAGATCAGTCAGTCAAGAGGCTGCATCAGCCTTGCAAGCAAACAAACGATGGCAATGGGATCTTAAAAGGGCATCTCATCCTAGAATGGCACCTCTGGGATATCTTCATGAGAAGTCCTGGTACTGCTCTGGATGATAGTCACTGCCCCCAAGGAGGAAGAAGAGGAGGGGATGAGCAACCCACCAGGAGTTCCACAAGAATCCTCTTTAATTACCTCACAGGTAGGAGAAAAAAGC